TAAATAGTAACTCTACATATATATATATATATATATATATATATATATATATGTAGACTGCGACATAGATGTCGCAGTTTTCCGCAATGGGTTACATAACGGGTTAACGTGTTTCATGAGGAACAACGGCCTTAAACAGGCTCTATTCATTATGCTACATACCCGTATATAGTATCCACCGTTTCAACCCCCCCCCCCCCCCTGCTGCACGCACTAAGAGACTGCACTATGTTAAAGACAACAATGCTCTACGAAATTCCAGCCTTAGGGTTAAAAAAAAATATGTTTAGGTTTAAGGCATAAATCGAAGTTAAGCCCTCATAAGATTAGGAACGAGACGGCAAATTCCTATGAACCACAAATTACTCTTACAGAGAGCTTCAAGTGTTAAAACCTCAACGTGTCCATTGGCTGGAGTAAGTGCAAGATAGGACAAGGCCTTAGTGGACTTTTTGTGTTACCTTTTGTGGTAACATTGGACTCAGAATTTATTTGACTCAAAAATTTGACAATTGTAGAAAGCTCGATGCTTTTAATCTAGTTAATATAACCGGAAAATACTTTAGATTCGTTATTACTTTTTATTATTATTATTATTGGATATCAATAAAAAAATTTTTAGCATTATTCTTTTAGTATGTGGCTAGAGATATTCGTGATTTTCGGACACGTTTTGCCATTCACACGTGTAAAATTTTGTTCAATGCAATCTAACACCGACGGGAGGCAGAGCTGAGGTGTGACTGATAGGCCGAACCGGGGTCCTAGAATACCCAGGTGTGAACGCGTTTCTTATTATGCTTTAAAATAATGACTGCCATTATTTTCAATCGAATTGTACCACTAGAATTTGTGGAACAGTAATAAAGCTTTACCCATCTTATGAACGTATGCTTTTGTTAGATCAACACGGTCATGTCGAATGGGTCTGGTATGAGATCAATCACATGACCTTTATTGGCCTATCGATGCGTCCTATTAAGACATCCTACTAGTGTTAATAGCGGAGCTGCAATTGTCATTGGCGATATAAGAACGCATTATCAGCGTTTGCCATCAAGCATACGGAACATCCATGATACGTCGTCTAGGACAGCGGGATCTTGCGGAGAGTCGCAGCGTCAAGTATAAAAGGCCGCCAGTGGTATAAGATCGCCATAGGTGTATTCTACGCCCCGACGTAGATTACACAGTTCAACATGAGATTTGGTTTGCTTTTGAGCCGCCGGTGAGTGGCATGTCATATCGGAGATTTGACCCCCAGAGCCTGAGTTATGGTTTCTGTTTATTTCATTCCTATTCGTAACTCTTTTAGTACGCTTGAAGCAAATGTAACTAGTTGACCAGCTTGAGTCCTGAAATACGGTGTGATGGACCAAAGAATAATGCGAGGTTAACCAGAGTATTGCGATGTAACGGGTGGATCGGTGATATGAATACGTCTTATCACAAAATATTTCTGAGTTTTTACCTCAAAGGCGAGCGACTCCATAAGAGATAGTCTATCAGCCCGAACTATCTAACATCAAAACAGATAGGACATTGGCTTCAGTCAGTCAAGCTGGATCTCCATTTTTTTCTTGTATCTCATAAAACAGGTTATACATTTTATGTCCAGAAACAGTATTAGCTAGTTACGCAAGTAATCACTTCTGCTGTTTAGCTTTCAAATGCAAATATTCAAGCTAACATTTAATGCCATGACCTAACGTCCATTTCCTTGTGTTCCGTACCTGCCCATCATGCTGGACTCCACGGCATCCCCGATGGTAAGTAGCCCGTATTTAACGCTCGTCATTTGCCAGAGTATTTTATAACATCGTTCTGTTCAACTACATATAGTTCGTATAAGACAGCGATATTTAAAATCTTACCACGCGAGCTCTAGTACCTCTATAACTATCATTCTATGGTCGCTACCGGCCTTGCCCATCAGTCTTCCCGGTATGCTGGCCTTGAGAAACACGGTGTCCTTACCGTTCAGGTCCACAAGGAGCAAAGTAAAGACAAGACTTTTGGCTTCCTTCTAAGCCACATCACGTCTGGGTCCTTCGAAAAGGAGGTGGAGGACATTGAAAACCATCACGTCGAGGGTGTCCATTATAGTACTGAGGAGATCTTTGAGAAGTACGGTCCGGTTTTCATTAAGTATCAGGACAACGTCGCGCAGGTGCTGAGGGCGCCCCAGAGCATGCCTGAGGAGATCATTAACATTTATCGTGGCATTGCTGCCATCTGCACTGTAGCCAAGCCTGAGCACTAGGATGAAAAGCACCCATTCATGTACTAGGATGAGCAGGGTAATCACAGTGGATACGGAAGTGAGGGCGGCCAACCAATCGTCTACCAGCGCCACCAGCAGGGAATCAATGGTAACTTTGAGACCACTTACGAGGTTCTGTCTGGCTACGATCAACGCGATCAGCTTAACATGACTAAGAGCAGGAACTACATGAACCAGATCGGTCGTGATGGCCGCTTCTTCCAGAACGGTCATGATCAGCATGGTTGTCAGAATATTTGCCGCACCCATAAACTCGAACAAGTCAACTCCAACATGCAACCTGAGAACTTCGCCTGGTAGGTGCCCATTCCTGAGGGTTTCCCTGTCGCATTTCAGCCTAAGAAGGATCTCGTTCAAGCTTATAGGACGTATGGCTATAACATGAGTGTCATTTAGGGCGGCAAGTACACCGTTATCGAGAAGACTCACGCTCTCGACAGGAAGATTTTTCCTCTTCTTCTGTCGCCAACAAACTAAGACTATATCCGTTGTCAAGCTCAGTCTTGTTAAGTAGTGGCCCATTTCTCAGAGCTGATTGGAGCAGGAAGCTACAAAGCATTACAATGATAGTACCTACCACTTCCCTGAGGGCCACAAATTTGATCTCAAATACTTCAGTCTATACAACAAGGTCAAGAGCGGTTATTTGCTTAAGGAACACATAATCCACATGACTAAGGCCCTGTCTGAGATTATCGTTTCGGATAACATCGAGCTTAGGCGACAGACTAGTGACAAGATCGTTCAGCTCATCATGGCTCTTAGTCAACTTGATAAGCCAGGACTTCAGGCCCTTTGGGGGGTTCTTGGCTAACCTGCCGTCGGCAACAGGGGTTCCGAGCTCGAGCAGGTTCAGCGCAAGGTCTTCATCGACGTCATTGGTCTTTCCGGCTCTAATGATGGCGCCGAGTTTCTCGTCGGCCTCATCCAGCAGCAAATATTGTCGACTGTGGAGACTGTCCACACTTTTGAGGCTCGTTAAAAGAACATTGTCAGACCTACCACTAAAATCATGCACCGACCAGAGATTCCAAAAGCAGCGTACCGTCTTCACTACTGCCTGCATTGCTTTTGGGGAGGTCGTTAGTGGCAGCTGCGCCAACCTCCAAAGCCGTCAATGGCAAATGGAGCAGCAGCAGAACTATATTGGTGCTGGCAAAGAGTATTCTGAGTACTGCGGTGAGGAGGAGTACAAGCAGCTTGTCGACACCCTCCGCGGCCAGCTTTAGGGCACTCAGGAATACGCCCAGCAAATAGTCTACATCCAGACTCTTGGTCGTCTGTCTCACTGTGAGTCGATCAAGACTCTTGTCCCTTATATCTACGGCGAGAAGGAAATTGAGGTCCAACTTGAGAGGACAATCAGGGGTGAACAAGACGAGGATATTTCCGAGTACAAGCAGCTCGTCCATCAAGTTGCCATCTAGTCTCTTCACTACGCCACCTAGAAGCACGGCGCCGCTACTCAGCCCATCGTTCAGGGGATCTACTTCAACCAGGAAGAAGATTACGAGATCCGTATCGCAGCCCTTTCTGTCCTTCTTGCCACCCAACCCACTGAAGCTACTGTCGGTCATATGGTCATTGAGGTCGGCCACGAGAAGGATTACGAAGTTGCTTCTCACGTTTATTCCGCCCTTCACTCTCTTGCGAACTCCACCCTGCGCTGCATGAGGCAGTATGCCCGACGTATCCAGAACGTCCTTAGCGCTCTTCCCCGATACACTTTTGGTGGACACCGCTCCAAAATGGGTATTTACACCTACTACTCTCCTCTTGCCCAGTTTGGTGTTAAGGTTCAATGGAAGCTTACTCAGTCTAACGTTTCTGCTGTTCCCCGCTTTTTCTATAGTGTCCTTGCTATCAACAAGGGTCCCTTCGCCTCCACCCTTGCTTATTTCGGTTTTATTTCCAAGGGCATCGAAAACCTCGACAATTTCATCCTTCTTAAGGGTGGGCATGAAGAAGATCGTTGAGAGCATCATGCAGCATCATCACCGTGACGCTCGCGTCTATTCTGTTGACTGGTCTATTAAACAGATGACTGAGCTCATCGAGCAGACCATGCAGTTTAACACTGAAAAAGAAAACGAGCAATTCCGCGCTGTTGCTTTCGGCAACATCTTCGGCAACGGGTTCTACCTTCCTATCGACAATGGGTACATTAGTAATGTCGCCAAGTATGCCGGTGAGCACGCCATCAACATGATCCGCGAGCAGGATGCCGATAAGATTTTCCGTTATGTCTGCATTGTTACGTCCCGCACTTACGTCCGAGTTTCCCCCAGTGTTAACGGCCTTCCCATCATCCTTTCCAACCGCGAACCAATTGTTGTCTCTGTTTCTCCCAAAAATCTTCAGACCCGTTTCGACGTCGAGAAAGGCGAGCCTAGAATGTACCCTTCTATCGCTGCTTTCTCTGGTCTTATCCAACCCAAAATCTACCACACCTCTGTCCATAATGCCTCAACTATCAACCCTTTCCAACAGATCCGTTTCGCTTACGGGGTCCGTGCTGTTGAGCAGACCTATTTCAACCTGCCCATAGACGCCGTTGTCCAATACACTCATCAAACAAGTACTGTTGGTATCACGGTACGTCCCCGTCTCAGGAATGTCTTCTTCCATAAAACTCGTGCTATAACCTTCAAGACTGAGGCTCTCCTTATCCGCCCTGTTAAGACGCCACTTTTCGAGCAGTTCACCACTATCAAAACTCAGCAGAAGCCGTTCGTCTACGATCACATCTTTAACCAGACATTGGGCATGCCCCTTCATGTTCGGGGAATATCCATGAGGGAGAACCATTTTGTCAACTTTCTCCGCGCCTGCATCACCGGTGGTGAGACTGATGTTATGGCCGCCCTCGTTAAAAGAATCGTTAATGAATGGTTTGTTCCCCGCACCTGGGTTGCTCATTTTGAGCAGAATTGCGAGAAGGTCGTTGAGGAAATTAAGATGTTTTTCCGCATCGGTAACCTCCTTAAAAACCGCATTCAGACACAGGAGCATCGCTCTGAGGAGCAGCTCGCTAGAGAGCAGACTTTTCCCGAATACATGCGTATGGTGGCTTACGATTAGTAATATGAGAAGATCACCGGCCGCAAGCCTAAGACTGAAAAGCTCCAGCAGGTCACTGAGCGCATCGTCAAGCAGGCCGAAAAATATTGGTCCCAGATCGATGATGAGCAGCATCAGAAGATGAACAAAAACAGCACTCAGGTTCGCTCCCTTGAGTACGTCATCGTCGCTAATGGTCAGGAGAAGCAGCAATTCGCTGTTTCCGGTCACATCATCGCTGGCTCCACTCTGTCCAAGCAGGCTAAGTTCAGTGAGATTAAGATGAACGTCGAAGACACGCCCATTAATTTTGAAAGTCAAGTCATCGCCGCTTTCACCAAGGGTCCCCAGCCCTTCAGAACTGAAGTCCGCGAGCAGGAACAGCGTTGTGTTCTCGGCTTCATCGCTAAACTGGCGACTCAGTTAACTGGCAAGCAGCAGTACACTGGCAAGGTCAAAATGACCAAGTCCGAAGAGCAGAAGTACCTCATGAAGCTTTCCATCCAACAGAAACCCTGGTTCTACCGCCAGTGCGAAGAGGACAAAATAAAGCAGATGTCGGAAATGTCCAACGCCTGCGAGATCGCCCGGTATCACAAGGCTGCTCTAAATCAGGTCCACTTTGACATTTAGCTTCCCCAGGTAGTTCATGGGGGTCTTGCTAACGTTTTTGACAAAGCACGCGAAGCTCTAAAGGTCCGCTTTTACAGGAACCTTCACGCCACGTATGAGCCTGAGAAGATCAATACTCAAGAGAATAGGCTCCAGGGTGTCCTTGTCTACTCTGAAAGTTATTCCCATATGCGTAGAACCAGTTTTACCATCCGTACCTCCGACTATGAAGAGCTTCGCTTCGAGCGCATCACTTTCCCTATAGCTTTCCGCCCTAACACCATGTGGTCCATTAAAGAGCAAGTTGATTTTTTCTTCAAAAACGACTGCTCCGAGCGTAAGTGTGCAAGAGTTTTAAATTATATTTATTTGGCATGACTGTACTAGTATCTATAAGTTGGTAGATGGGTCTTCCTTAATACTGATGTTACTTATGAGTAATATTAAATCTGATACCTGTGGAAATTCCAAGCTTCGAACTTTTCCACCTCACTCACTTGACCAATTTTGCTTCTCTTTTATTTTGTCGCTTTCTTTTACAGCCATCTGTGTCTACAATGGCCAGAAGCTTCATACTTTCGACAACGTAACTATTAACCTCAGCGAAATGAAGCAGGGTGAGAAATATGTCATTGCCCGCGACAACAACAAGAACTCCGCGTCCACTATTGTTAGTCGGAAAAAGACGATGGTGAGAATTCTGAGACTGAGATCGAGGTTCTTCTTCGCGACATTACGCTTCTTAAGCTCACTCCTTCTGTCTAGCGGGGCCAGTTCAAGGTCCGCGTCAATCAAACCGACATTAACGTTTCCACCACAGAGGCCCATGTTCGCCAGTACGCTGACAAGAGTAAACACATGATCACCTTCCACGTCGAGGAGCACGAAACGGGCCAGGACACCCTTGTTATCAGGGTCCACGACAAACGTCTGCGCATTGTCTACGACGGCAAGGACTTCAAGATTAAGGTCGCCAACCATCAGCAGAAGGGTCAACAAGCACACTGGCGAACTTACTGGTCCCCGCGGATGCAACTTTAAGCGCGAAGAACACTTCGTCCGAGCCTTCGATCTCACTAGCGGAGAGCACAAGCAAATAGCGGGTGAATGGTCCTGCCCTGAAGCTATCTATCCCCGTGGCGCCCTTCAGATCGATATTTCTAAGAAATACCAAGAGAAGCAGATTATTCAGCAACAGGATGCTCTTATGTTCGAGCAGCGTTGGGTCCGCCGTCAGGAGCATGAACTCCATCGCCCTAGAGACCAAGATGATCTCTCTTGCCAGCAAGATCTGCTTCTCCCTTAAACCCATCTCCACCTGCAAACAGAGTCTCCACCAAGTTAGCAGTGAAAAGCAGTCCGTTGCCTTTGCCTGCCTTCAGGCCAACAGTCAGCGTACCATCGAGTTTCAGCATGAGGTACAGGTCCGGAAAGTTGCCTTCAATCTTCCCACTACTATCGCCCGTTTGGGTAGCTCCCATCTCGTTCACCGTGAGATTGAGGTTCCTACCCGCTGTTCTCAGTAGTCTCAGTAGACTTGAATAAAACAACGTTACGTAATAATCAAGAAATTGATAGTGGTTTTATATCACCACGTGTTTACGGAACGAGTCTGATAGATGAATTAACAAGTTTTTAATAAGGATAATACAGTTTAAAATTTAGCGTAGAGTAACTAAGAGAAGTATTGTTGAACCGCTATGCCTGAAAAATATGGCTGGGTGCATGGGTAGTTTAGGAACTTTTCGCAGAAAGCGCTTTTTACTCGGTCTAGCAGTTACATGCAGTGTGATTATAATAGATTACCGCCTAATAAGGACTTGAATAATAATTCCAGACAACATAGTAAAGAATTTCGTACACAGCAAACTTTACTGACACAAAACCATATTCGAGGTGCAAGGGCACTGCTGGAAACGCCTCCTTCATAACTTGCCAGAGATCCACTATTTTTGTAAGGCTTCGATCGTACCAAACGTGCTTTTATTTGTATAAAGCATTACACATAGTACGCTAGCGAGACGTGGGAGTTTTATATTATTTTTGATATCAGTGTAACATTAAACGACGCTATATAAATGGAATATATACACTTCTATGCCAATTACGTGGAATATAAACGATTGTTATTTATACCATCTGCTGCGAAACAAAATTGATATGACATTTGTCTTGAATAATGCTCGATGTATCTAACTGCTTCAGGACTACGCAGACAACACTCAACCCAGATAGAACTTTCTCACTAAATTCAGATGGACGTCCTTTTGTCAGTGACTAGGTGTACTGAGTTTTGGGGAAGTTTATACCACAATAAAACAAAACTGCACTGCCTGGATAGACTTCACGAGCAATGAAGTTTCAAGACTTGAAAGAGTTAACCAACCGTGGGACTCAAAAAGGTAAAAAAAGACGTCGTCCTGAATCCGCAGTATTATACGGCTCCTAAGCGCTGATGTACAACCAGCTGCTGGGAGCTTGTTATTGCTACTTGTAACGCTTATGGGTAAAAACCATATCTTGGGAATAAAATGACGGGGAACAAGTTAATGCTAAAGGGGTTGGCGATGTTAGCGATATAAATAAAAGTTAGCGATGAAAAAAGTTTCGAAGATTTCTTCGAATCGCAAGCAAAAGTAAAATCATTAATATTTCGGTGTCCGTTACACATATATGTGAGTATATATATATATATATATATATATATATATATATATATATATATATATATATATATACAGCATGGGGCACCTAAATCTGGATTTTTTCTTATGAATTATTTCAAAGAAAGATATCTCAACGAACTTTTGCTATATTTTTTAAAAATGCCATTCCTAACGGTCATATTTATTCATCCATTCACACCGATTACGGCTTTAACTTAAGACGCAAGTCAGTAACTTGGATTTTTCATAATAGTTCTTATTTAGTTCGAGAATAGCTTTTATCAATTTGTCCAAAGTTGCATATCCCACTCCGGATACGGGTATGCATATAAATTGATTAAATATATAACTGTGTATGTTGTTCACACTTATCTATATACCACCTGAATTCTGTGTCCGTTTAGTCGACTCCTTAATCAGATCGGGCTGATTTTTGGCAGATCATTGGAGCGGAGCCGCACATAGAATCGTGTATCTTTTACAATTCAGATTAATACTTCAGCGTGAGAGAGACCAGAACTGATTGTAGTAGCTTGTTTGCCTGGGCGGCACTGGCACCCTACATAGGGAAAACGTTTCTCGATGGGCTGAATCAAAAAGTTGATCAGTCGTCAGGTCAAAAATGCCAAAATATCAAAAGATGTGTTTATCATAAAAAAAAATAAGGGTAACTGCAATAGTATAATCGATTATAGTCTGTTAGGTGGGGTGTAAAATTAACAGGGCAGATAAATCGGCGGCAAAACAGACACGGGAAAAGCTCGCGGGTTCATCTGCTCATAATATTTATAATTATTTTATAATTATGTATATATAGTAAAAATAATGCTTATAATTACTTTTAATACAGTTTCATTGAGTGCCTTAAATATGAATATGAAACTAATCATATTTAGTATTATTACCTCATTTGGTTGGCCTCGCCTCATGGACACACAATATGGGAATTGTGGGTCATACATTTTGTTTAGTTGTCGTATATATATTTTGTAAAAACGCTCACGAAGGACTGACGATCACAAAAAGTTTGTATTGTTGTTTTTTTTTTTATTGCGAATACATATAGTTCGTTGTGTTGTAAATATTTTTTATATTAATTAAACAAAAGCTAAAAAATGTTTAGTTCATTGTCGGGAAAGCTTGAATAAGCCTCCTTGTAATGTCACGCGTACTACTTCTGAGTTACACCCGACACATTATTAATAGAAGTAATAATAAGAACAGCAATAATAAGCACACAAATCGGCACGACATTCTATAATCAGCTAAATATATATACGTAAAGCAGTATTTACTTAACGTCGCGAACGATAGGTAATTGCTTCAATGAATTGCTGGTGAAAACATGCAAAAAAAAAATTTCTTTACGACCCCTCCACGTTGAGTCCAGGATTCGTTTTGTGAGCACCACCGATGCCCCGAAATACAACGCACTTTGACAGAATACTATGGAGTCAGCAAGAGACAGATGGATCCAGCAAAAGAAACATTTCCATTTATTGCCCCTTAACTTGTTGATGCATTAATTAATTTGGTCTGCCCTAGTGTAGCCGGTAGGGTTGCCGATCCGTAAAAAAATTTCCAGTATCATACCGTCCCGTAGAAAAGGTGTGTTTGTGTGCCACAGCGGGCTAAATAACTAGGTAGGCATAAGCGGCACTTAATAACGAACCTTGTTACGCGCTTTTATCCGTTGTTGCACAAGCTCTCCCGTTTCCTAGTTCGAGACCGCCTGCAATACCTTTGTGAGGCTCCATATATGACAAGTCTACACACTGGAGCCAGCTGGCTGTTCAAGCATGCATATTGTACATAATGTGCATCGGGGTTCTGTCTCCTTCTGCCATCATAGAGTGGCCTACTCGTCGCGTACCAGCACTCTATCTCATTGGAGCCCGTCTGCCTAAACTCGTCAGCGTTTTCCGTCACCAGCAGACGCGTCGACCGGGCCGGAAATAAGTCTCCCACCTCATATGGACCTGGGACCTTCAGGGGCCTTGCTCGGACACTGCAGAGGCCAAGGCGTTTTTAAGGGGAGCTAGAAAGTCGCCCTGGGGAACCGCACACCCGGATTCTGCGACTTCCGTTTTGCTCTAATGGCGCAGTACGTTTCCTTCCCTGCTCGAGCTTCCTGGTAGTGCCACACCCAGGCCGTGCCAAACCCAACCAAGCTACCAGATCCCTTATTCCTCCAGAAAAACAAAAAGCTAACAACAAAAAGTCAATTTTTGCTCAGGTTGTCACCGTGGCCGTTATGTGGGGCACCACTTGAAAAACAGCAGCAGCAGCAGCCGCGGCCGTAGCATCACTACCACAAACCCACAATTATCTTCTTTCAAACCTGTTCACGGATGTACTCGATTTGGTCAACGTCTGCCCTTCTTTATGTGGTAGAAACTTCCTTCAAAATTAAGGTCCGAGAGGAGTTGGGAAACGAGCACAGCTCGTTGCTTCGTGCCACACGATCACGAAAAACCTTTTCCTCTGCAGGGAAAGAATGAAAAAGCTTGAAAGCTAACACGATAAATGGTTGTCGAGATTGATAAGCGGGTCGTGAAACAAGCGATTTTCACAAAAGGTTAGTTACAGGACTATAATGTGGACCAGGGCTAATCTGGGTTAATGACATTGGTGGTATCATTGTTGTAAAGAAACTTCGAAGAATCGAGGGCTCAAACAAAATATATTCAGTGGCCTAATACCTTCGCTAAAGTGAATCAGTTGGTGCGATGCGTATTAAAGTATTTATAGGCACTTCAGCTCATTTCGATTTGCAAATACTAATTTATTATATTTATGTATATATATACAACAAATATAATCTTTCGGAAATAAAAATCTCGGATTAACACCTTGGTACCCAATCGTAATCCGTGCAAAAATACTATTTGATATAAACACAAAAACATACTAATGTTTAAGTCATTTGTTATGTTTTCGTATTGCGTACTTTAATAACAGTAATCGTGATTTATTTTGTTAAAAAGTTTACGACATGAAGATTGCATTTGTATGCATCCGGCATCCGGCAACGGAAGCCTACAATTCCGGGTACCTCGTCTGCGTCCTCCAGATGGACAACTCATGACCAGCTATCATTGATTTCACGAAATGCACATGCTCATCAGTGTCATGACCTGCATTAATCACTAGAAACGATTAAGACAGTCCAGGTATATCAGACAGTTTCGGTCTTAAAAAAAGGCCTAATATTAGACATAGGTGCGTCCTTGAGTTGCTACTTGGTCATGGGTATGATCTGCCATATGAGTTGCTGGCGATTCCGAAGGCATAGCGCTAATGGAGACCTATGTGAATTCAAATGAGCTAAATCTTACAGGCTAAGTATAGTTACGTCTATCAGATAAAAAAAAAAACGAAAACACAAAGTAACTTTCATCATTTTCACAAAAAAAAAATATATGTCTAATTAACAAGACCTGATAAGCTGTTTTTTCATGCATTTCATGTACACTTATTCAAGAGTCATCGACAGTGAATATAACTGTTTCTTTTTTTGGTATTTTGCCAAAATCATTATTAACGTCTAGCGTTATCTTAACTTCAATAACCAGCATCGATTTAGAGCATCAAAAACAAATTGTTGTCGGTAATTTAACTCCGCAAGTCTTAAAAACGAATGTTTCGAACTTCAAGTATTTACAGGGATGTTATTTTCTACCGGCTTCCTAACCGGTAATCTGTAGTAGTAAGGTAGTATCTATCCTCATTCGGGCGGGACGTCGTTGCCATGCCGGCCTTGTCGGACAGTTCGACGAGGGTCAACTATCTGCTATGCCCCTCCGCATTTTCCTTTTTGTAGAATTTCTTTCTTTACAGTAGCACTGTCACCTGCAGCC